GTGTGGTCGGTAAAAGGTGCCACGGTGCAGGGCAGAGGTACTGGGGACGTGGACTGGGCCAGAAGCCAGTTTGTCCAGGAGTGTGTCAGTGAACACAACAGACTACGGGACCTCCACTCTGCTCCTCCTCTTACTCTGTCTGATCAGGTGCGTTAAAAACTCTTTATATAAATGTGATATACAGGTTGAGGGAAACATATTAGCCAACAATTCAATTCAATTTAATAACTCACCAGCCATGGATAGTTTGTTTTAGCTCACTAGGTGAAGATAGTGGACACAAAAACTCACAGTTCCTCTCGTGAAGGAAATGAAGTCCTGTCTAGTCTCTGTCGGTGTTTTGTTACATTCATATTAGGTTTTTAATTAGCAGGTGTCTGTTGATTAATTCCTGGTTTAAAAATTAAGTTCAATTTCCTCCCATTCAGAAACGAACTGTGAAGGTAAGATGATTTTGTTTAATTTTACTTATTTTTGCTTATTTTTTTTTAGTAAGTTTGATATCCTGGTTTGATTAGTATTCTCGTTTAATTTTAATACTAAATACAAAACAACAATAAACTGTAAATAATTTGATGTATATGTAAAGTGTAATTACAAAATACTTTAAATATAATTATATAATCTATTAATTATTGTAAATTTAACCAAAATAAACAGACAACAAAACACAGAATATCAACGTCCGTTTTCCTCAACAGCTGTGTAACGATGCTCAAGCCTGGGCCAACAGACTGGCTCATTTTGGCCTCCTGGAGTACAGTTCCGAACACGGCCGAGGGGAGAATATCATGACCTCCACCGCTAAGGAAGAACTTACAGGTGAGGTTCTGATTGGTAAGAAATATTGACTATGTTCTCAACCCTAAAAATCATGTTCTCTTTCATTGTGAGTTTCTTTTTTGGGGGGAGATCTTTTCTTATCTTTCTGTGGCTCTTTTGTCATCTTTCTCATAACCAACTCGTCTTCCTCAGGGTCAGCGGTGGCTCTGGCGTGGTATGACACAGGGCGGACCTTCAAGTACGAGGTTCATGGCTCAGCAGATCTTGCCCACGCAGGTGACACTCGCCGCCGTTTTTTCCTGTTGTTTCCCCTTCAAATGTCTTTGTTTTCTGTGATCATGCTTTTTTTTCTAATATGTTACTTCGCCATTAGTTCTCTCTCTCTCTCTCTCTCTCTCTCTCTCTCTCTCATATATGAGCTATATTGATGCTTACCTGTATATTATAGGACAAGTTCTTCAGTGATCAATAAAGTAAAATAAGCAAAGATACATTAGAATAGGGTCACAATCACTCGCCAGTAGCCTCGGAGTTTCGGTAATACAGTATAAGTATGTATTACCCTTATTTATGAGACAATATACACAAAACACTAATATATCGTAAATAAGGAACGTATTGGCGGTACTCAGTGGCTACCGGCGAATGAATCAGTCAATATAAGTTGAGAGTCATATGACCTCTTATTAAGAATGTCAGTCATATTACTTTAAATATTGTCGTGACTGTGTGGTTGGTGATGGTTCACAGACACCGTGACAGGTACCTTGTCTTGCAGGGCCGTTCTCCCAGGTGGTGTGGGAGTCTACGAGAGCAATTGGCGTGGGCATCGCGAGGGGGTCAGAGGGCCGCACCGTGGTGGTGGCCCGCTACTGGCCACAAGGCAACGTGGGTGGCCAGTTTAGCAGCAACGTGAAGCCCCCGGCAGCTGACAGCACCCTGGCAGTGATAAAGTCGGGGACGCCTACCATGTCCCGCACCCGGCAGGAAGCTCACTTCTACGTCAGCATCGCCCTGGAGCCTCCTGGCAAGAACAAGAAGGCGGAGAAGGAGAAGATGGCCGCCTTGAGGCTCCCGGTAAAAAAAGTGTTGGGGATATCAGGAGAGAGTGTGTCAGGGGAGACTCTGCTGACTCACCCCGCCACCATTGAGACTCTGGGGACGACCTTTGCCTCCTGTCGTAACGGGGCGGCGAGGACGTCCAAGCTGTTCCCTATCTGCTGCGTGACGCCAGCCAAGACAGAAGAGCGATGGGCCACCCCGAGTGCCCGCAGCCAACACCAGACACAGCAGCCGCATCAGATAGACGTGGCCACCATTAGACGAACAGACGACGAGATAATGCCGTGTGCCACAGGTGCCAAATTAGACAGTGGTGCGCACCTCAGTGCTGAACCTTCACAGAGACACAAATCCACTTTGAGAGCGTCTCCTAGGTTAGGGGTCTCACCGAGATTAGGAACCTCCCCTAGATTAGGGGCCTCTCCCAGATTAGGGATCGCGTCTCGACTAGGGTCCTCGCCTAAAATGGGTGCTTTACCTAAACTAGCTGCCTCTGCGCGGATGGCTGCTTCACCAAAGCTAGTTGCAACTTCTCGGTTTGGTGGGTCACCTAAACGTGGTTCACCTAAACGCAGTATGAGACGCGGTGCCTCGCCCAAGCCCGGATCGTCACCGCGTCGGGGTGTCAACTCGCGGCTTCGAGCTCTAACAGGAACTGGAGAGCGCAACGTCATCGTCGCCACACTGTAGCCTCGACCAAACTATGCAGGATGAGTGATTTTTGTTATTATTGTTGCTATTGTTATTACAGAGACTACTAAGTGTGGCGAACTGGTGAACCGAAAGGCACAGCAGTGGTTCTCTCTGGACAAGAAACTCCAGAATTCAGGTTATAGAAGATAGTCTCGGTTGACAAGAGGCAGGCGTGTGTGTGTACTGTATGTGTATGTGTGACGCAGGGATGTACCTGACGCCGGACATGTGACGACCACAGACACTAACAAGTTGCCCTGACAGCTATAGCGACACCTCTTAACGTTATATAACCTTGTAGATCTTACAACTCAAGCCTCCATAACAATGACCATCGTCTACCAATCACCATAACTGCATCCATCATGTTATTTCCTCATCCCTTGAGGCACTTGTCGTGTTTATTCTTATATAACATAAAACGTTAAACATTATCAGTCATAATGACTCGTCTACAAACAACAAAGTCGTCGCAACGGTTCAGGCAGCTTGTGTTAGCTGGTGTCACGGGGTTATGTAGAGGCGAAATATAATAAACAAAGTCAAGGTTGTGTGTAGGAACGTTCAAGCTCAACAACACGCTTATGACGCGCTACCACCAAGGCACTCAGGACCCCCAACTAAAGAAAGTAACTTTGGATTACACTTGTCGTGTGTGTTTCAGTAACAATTACCTCAAAACTGTTCACGCCGATTCTTGAATTACATCATCGGTTCTACTCGTAGAGTAGTCAATGTTTACAAGTGTTGCCGCGCCTCGTGCCTGGAGGCGTGGCGGAGGTCCTGACTGCACTTTGTGTTCTCACAGTCTTGAGTGTGACTTGAATACAATGATCACTAAGTGATAAACCAAGGTAATGAACACTCCAGTCAGGGTCGTGCATCTTAAAAATGCCATTTACGATTCAGACTAAGAGTTTAAACACTAAAAATTTAACGTGTTAGTGCCAAGCTAGGGTTAGTTCCTCTTATTGTGCTAAAAAATAAAAAAATCAAGCTTTTTTATAAGTTTGGCCTTAAAGGCATCATCAATTCTTGCGAGCGTCGATACAACACAGTATTTTTTTTTATATAGCACTATCATCCCCCTCCACGCTGACATATCATAGAGCGATATGGCTGAAATATCCCCCGTCTACATGTGGCTCTCGTCTCTGCTTACATGCTTCGTAGGGCTTCATCCTTTTGGGGTCTGTGGGGACTGCCTGGCTGGGAGGAGTGTGTCCTTGTCTGAGGGACTGTGAGGACTGATATTACTTGGGGTTAGGAGTTGAGTTTACAAGGGAGGGCTAGAAGGACTGACTTTGTCAGGGGGCTGTAATGATTGACTTTGCTGAAGAGGCCATGACGACTGACTTTGTTAGGGTCTGTGACAACTGACTTTACTGGAGGGACCGTGAGGACTGACCTTGTTGGGGGTTGTGACGACTGACTTTACCAGGAAGGCTACGAAGACTAACTTAATTGTGGGGACTAACATTGCTATGGAGGCTGAGGGACCTCGCTGAGAAAGTACGGTGACTGACTTGTAAAGTAGGTGACGGTTGACATTGTTGAGGACCGAGAGAAATTACTTTGTTAAAGGATGTAGGGACTGATTTAGCTCGGGGGACTGTAGGAGGCGTTAGTAAAGAAAAAAGTCAGGTCGGTGTAGAGAGAGAGAGAGAGAGAGAGGAACAGGAGGAAAGGTTAGGATCAGTAAAGCGCAGGTGTGTTGTGTCAGCCAGGGAGTCTCCACCAATACTCCTCACCTCAACACTCGCTTACTTAGGCCGCTACTTTAATGTCCGCGCCTCCACGCCAAACCACAACTGCACACAGGAACATCTAGTAATATAAATAAATTTTAGCTAAAATAATGAGGGCAGTTTTGAAAGAATGATCCATTCTTTCGGGAAACTTCAAAGTTGTGATATTTGCACACATTAGATCGTCTGGTTATGAGATTATACCACCGTGGTTGGAAGGAAATATATCTCCATTGTTGACCTCTTGTGGTGATGGCTCTGCGTAGTGCAGATAGGTCGTCAATCTTTGTCAAGCCGTCAGCTGAGGCAAGTTACTCTGGCCTTGTGTTAACATTTATATTCACCTATTTAAAGCAAATTACAGTGCCATAATCCAGTTACCTTTGAAGAGTGGATATATTTGTGTTTTTTATGAATATAAATATCTAAAATTCATTAGATGCATTAAATCCATCGAGAAAGTGTGTATATAGCCATGCACACGCACATGTTCATGCATACATACAGTATATATATACATCTACATACAATCATATATCTTCATTGGAGCGTAAACAGGTTTTTTAACTCATCAGCCTTAGGAGTGAGATGAGAGCTGTGATTGTCGTGGACATCCTTAGTACTGTCGTGTGAGGGAGGGAAGCTGTCGCAACACTGAGCAAAAAAAACTTTTTCTCAAGTTGTCGATTTTTATGAAAACTATCCCGTAGCTGCCAACCTACACGACGATTGTAATTATTTATGTGAAACGACTTATTACACCCTTTTCATTGACACTTTTCTTGGCCATTCATGCACATGTACCGATTATTGATGCTGTCTCTATAACTTTCCTACTACTGCATGTCATCTCTATTCTAATCTTTATCTTCAAAATTCATTCCTTATATTTCATCTGCTGTTAACTTTATCCGATTTTCCTATTTACGATCAAACCTAGTTAAGAGTAGGTCTGAGATATAGACAAATTTACTGTACCGTATTGTATTATTTACCGTCAATCAAATATACTTCGGGTTCTATCTTTGACCTTCAATATATGTATCGAACCATAATATGACCTTCTGATATGACAAACACATTTTTATAAAGTATATATTAATGCATACCTTTGCTATTCACTGTTCTTAAGTCAGTATATTTTCTTTTTACCGTTTTCTTTTAAATTTTCGTAGGTACGCCTGGAATAGAATACGTTTTCTGTGATCCCGAGTGACAGTATTTTAAGGCATTCTATTGTATTTTTCAAGATATCCGTTTACTTAAATTACCAGAGGAAACACCTTGGTATATTCAAAGTCTCTTCGTTATTCCTGGTGACACTGTTCACTTGTTCTGGCATATTTTATATATATGGGATATATATATATATATATATATATATATATATATATATATATATATATATATATATATTTATATTATATTCAAGACATCTTCAGTTGCCTCTGAAGATGTCTTGAATAAAGACGAAAGCTAAGGTGCTCCGTTGTTTCTTTTCCGTGTGATTTTATCAAGATTTATCTTATCCACGTTTTCATTGTGGATCTACCTGAAATATATATATATATATATATATATATATATATATATATATATATATATATATATATATATATATATATATATATATATATATATATATATATATACATATATACATGGGATATACAGGTCGACATTCTGATAAATGATTTTATTCCAATGGCAAAAGACAACTTATTTTATTTCTTATACAGTCATAGTTACCCTCAAGCAGTAAACAAGTGAATCGTAGAAAGTATTCTCTATGTTCATTTTTTAAATTTGTATCTTGAAATTATTGTTATTTACTTTAAGTTGTTGAAATTTTGTGTGTGTGTGTGTGTGTGTGTGTGTGTGTGTTTAATTTATTCGATACTTAATTAAATAAACTAATTGTACAATCATTCAATAAGTCCTACAAGACGGCCGGTGTCAGAAAAGTACACGCGAACAAGACTCTTATTGGCAAACGAACAGAACCTAACCTAATCTAATCTAACTTGACCTAACCTAACGACCCAATGGTTATTCTGGCCAAGTCAAATTTCATTGGTCTATGCTGTTTGGAAAGTAAATGGTTTTTCTGGCCTGTGCGTGGCGTTGTATTTAATTCAGCATGTGATTTTGAAGTCTAAATTAATATCTCTCAGAAATGAAGCCTTCGGTTAGTACTAGTTTACGTTGGTATAGTTTTGAACGAGGTTTGATCCATCTTCATCTTTGACTGTATACACGACTGTCTGTATAGTTCTTACCTGTCTTTTATATACGGAATTCTGATCCAGGTGACTCCTTAATTAACCTGAAATATCGGTATAAACACTCATTGAAGTTGCCTTTATTAAACTCTGCTAATAAGTGCCTGACGGGTTACAACAGGTTTGGGCTAAACACGAATGAAGTTTTGATTATCTGTTACTAAACTCTTTAACAATGTATTTGGTGCTGGAAATGATCAAAATGGATGAGACTAAACCACCTATAAGTACACTTCTTTCTTGCACTCAACCGCCTAAAACTGTTGGAAATCCACATTGCGTTTAAGCGTACGGAAACTGAGTATTATAGTTATAATATATACCCATATCAGCGATGCACTTGTTTGAACTTTTGCACGTGCCATTTATTAAATACGATAAATGCTGATGTTTTTTATCTTAGGCTAATTCACTTCATCTTGTTTATATAATAACGCATTTCACATCTACTCAGTTCCTCCTACTTTCATTCACTGCACAGTTACTTAGGGTTATGGGTATGCATGCCTAGCTTTTGTGGAATGATATTCATTCCTAACTGAGGTGATCATTCCATTTTATACATTACATACGACGCGGTCATCTGGAGATGGCTGCTGTAGACACTAGGTTATGTAGTCACTCAGCTGGTACAGTACTTTTCATATATAGCGGAACTGAATACTTAAATGATCAACCAGCGATAAGAATTGGATATCCCTATATTCAATTCTTCTGTAGTAACATTGCATTGGTTTAAAATGTCGCGCCTACTAGTTCAATTGGTCATGTCTCACTGAAAAAAATTGATCATCGCATTTGTGTGATATCTCTCAGTTTGTCTCCAGTTGTTGAAGATGCAACCTTCAACTCTACATTGCAATATAACCCAATGCAATAAATTTAGTACACAATGGCATAAGGGTATCTCTCCTCTCAGTGGGACGGGGAGCTGTAACATAATTCAAAATAAACTGTGATAGTCAGAGAGCTTTTTATTAATTCCTCTTACAACAACAAGAAAAATCTCCAGCGAGATCCGAATTAATTTAATTGAAGGCTGCTGTAACGCGCCCAAGGAATATATCCCATTTCTGATTATTGTTCCTTATATGAACGAAAAGTGCACTGCTTTCAGATGCTGTTTTAATATTATACTTGTGCTGTTTTATTCTAGGATGTAATACTTTCCCAGTCTAACCTACATAATTTCCATTACAATTGCTACATGAAATGCAGTAAGTAATTCCATTTACATTGAAGGTTGGGCTATTCTTATATATATGTATGTATATTATATGCTGATAACCACAAGGAAAGAAGAAAACACGAAGTTCCCAAGCGCTTTCGTGTAATTCACATCTTCAGGGGTGGTTACAGAGTCTGTACCCACCCCTGAAGATGTGAATTACACGAAAGCGCTTGGGAACTTCGTGTTTTCTTCTTTCCTTGTGGTTATCAGCATATACCTAGATCACGCGCACCTACAGTGATTTACTTATATATATATATATATATATATATATATATATATATATATATATATATATATATATATATATATATATATATATATATATATATATACGGGGAGCTTATGGTCCGCCTTTACGCTTACCAGAAGTAGAGTAAACGTAAAAACATTACTAAGATCAGCTTTCTAACCGGAAGGGTATTTGGGGCACCAGAGGCAGCATATAAATTGTGACCAGACAGCTACACTCCTCATACTTGATATACAGTATACATTGGCCATAATAAACCCTATAACTGATGTGTTTGGGAAGTCTAATGTTCAAAGTTATAAGATTGGCAAATTCAGTTTCACATAATTTGAGTTGGCAAACTTGTCACTTGGCTAGAGTGCAGTCCTGGTTCAGTTATTCATGCTTGTCTAGACTCTGGCCATTGTAGACAATATAGACAGCACTTCTCTCTACTGCCTTCCACTTCCCTTACTGTAAAGCTCGAAGAGGTTAAGATAAGAATGTGTCATGGCTGAGGGTTTTAGGTAAAACAATATTTCTTGGAATTATGTCAAGAATTTAAGGAGTAACAGCTGATTGTTCTATTAATGATTCTGAAACGATTGTCAAGACCAATTTAATAATTTTTGAGGTTGTTAGACATAATTCAGCATCACATTATTCCTAAAATAACATTTTAACTGGTATAGGCCCACTGTAGCCAAAAGTGTGCGGGTCACTCTACAGTACCTCCTGGGTTCGAGCCCGAGGTCGAGGATAGATAAAGAAAGATGTTCCCTCATGCATTAACGTTTTTAACACAGCTATATATATATATTTATACATGACAGTATGACTAGGTTAAATAAATTCTAGATTATTATAAATAGTCTAGCATAATATATAGGCCATTAAATCACGTTTTCAGCCTTATTAATAGAGGGTAAAATGCGATAAAGGTAAAGGAACTGCGCACGCTCAGAAACCAGAAGATTAGTAAACAAACAAATTTACCTGGTAGCGAAGCTGTCACCTGCCAGTTATTAATTATACACCACTACAGTACCTCGTTACCTGTGTATGGGAAACAGCAGATGCAGGTATGTGCTTATTTTAATTCTAGTAACTAATTTCTAAAGTTAATAAAGTAGCAAAGGCAAATAT